GCATCAGGCCTGGATGAACCTGATTGGTGGAGTTTTTGGCAGGATGGCCGTTGCCACGGGTAACCATGCGGTTGTCAATGGGCTAACGTCATCTTATGTCTCGCTATTGGCCAGGACTTCCGTCATTTTATCCTCCTACCTTGGAATATCGATTTATATTGAAATATCCAGTGGCGGGGGTTTGGTCATTGTCGATTTTCGTGTACGAGTTGCAATACGATAACAGTTCCAAAAAGTTCCGCACGCAGCTGGGTATTTTATGAATGAAATCAGCCATTTTTTTTTACAACTGTATTCCCCTTACCGTTGCCCCGTAGACACAGATTCGCTGGGCTGGCATTAGGTATATGTATACACAATTATAACATAAACTATCGGGTTGCTTTCCAAAATTGAATAGGAATAATTATTATAAAAAATAATCATCTTTTGTCACAATAAAATTTGAATAAGAATTTGTGCCAGCTGAAAATGGCAACACTGCCTAAAATCTCGAAACTGTTGTTGTATTCGTCTAGGAACGCCCACCTGAATCTTTGTTAAGATAACCAGATAAAGAAGGATGCAAATGTTTCCAGAGCAAGCCCGACCATAATCGCGAATGCGCTGTAGTATTCATAGTAAGAAATGTCAAACAGGTTTTGTGTGTAATTGGCCCGCATTGTCCGCAATCTTATCCCCACTCCATGTAGTTCATTCATTAATCCACTATTGTCGTTTAGGATTGTTGGCCGCAGAAACCAAACGATTTTATGAATGACTTGCCCTCTCTATTTATGTAGTGTTACCACAGTATATACAAAAACAATTAGCAGGCTAACTCTCACGCGCATGTTTTCTGCGCACGCCGCCATTAGGGGATAGCATCCTGTCATTAAACGGCAGGGACGCCGACATTTTAATTTATTTGTTTATTTCTGACGGAGGTCATAGGCGTAGTCCGACTCTGTTCACGGCCCAGGATTCGTTGTTTCCGATCAATAATGCGCAAGCGCGAAATATAGGGACATAGAATTTGGCTTCAAAAAAATCAATGGTTTGTCAACGGAGTTGAACAACTGTATCGGTACGGTATAAACTGTGGTTGAGGTGTCAGTGAATATTATTAGGTTACGCCCTCAGAGTAACACCACAGCATATACAAAAACAATCAGCAGGCTAACTCAGGTGACAGCCCGTGTAATAAAGTAATTCATGGTCGGGATGTCACTAGCGGCCATTTTGGGATACGAGACAGGACCTGACTAACAATAATTTAGATTTTTTCTTTCGGGTCACAGAGTCGTATTGGCTTTAAATAAACGAATTTAATATTACTTACATATAATAATATTTTTCTCCAAACGTCAGAAAAACGTCACTTTGTTAACCCCTGTCAAGATGTCAGAAATTTGATTTCTATGCTGCTAGGCAAATCCAGCTGGTTAACACCTGTCGAGGTGGTAGAAATTTTATTTCTATGCTGCTTGGCAACCCCAGCGGCAGCAAAAGTACTTTTAGTGCCGCTGAAGCGGCAGTAGAAGCACTTTTAGTGCCGCTCGTACTTTTACTGTCGCGCAATCATTCACTTGCCCCCGAGCTTACCCCATTCGCTTGGAGAAAAAATAGTGTGTTGCATACGGAGTAGAAGCACTTTTTCGTTCTTCAGCAGTATTGCAAGCCTCACTACGTTCGGCTCGCAAACCTACTGCTTCAGCACAAAAAAGTAAAGATTCTACTCCTAATAGAACAATATACTATTATCCTTATTAATTTATTATTATTTTAAAACATACAAGAATGATAACTGATAACACCATAAATGACAACACGAATATACTAAAATCGCTTTGAAAATCATAATTAAAATTCCACTACACCGCACAGACGTTTGGAAGACGTTGGGTTTAGTAACATGAGACGTCTTTAAGATGTGAACAAGTAAGCAGACGTCTAAAAAACGTCTTGAATGTCGCTTGTGGAAATCTTTAGGGACATTTTCAAGATGTCTTCAAAAACTTCCCACATAATTCGTTTCTCATTCAATCCAGAAGTTACTGGAAACCATTTAAAATGCTACGGAACACTTTAAAACTTTAATACGCCTTTGGGAAAATTCAAAACACTTAAAATTTTAAAAAATCATTCTGTAACGCTTCAGAACAATTTGGGAATTCAGAACCATTGTAGAATGCTTTAAAACATTCAAAAACCTATTTACAATTTCCAAAATCATTTTAGAACAATTCAGAAGTTTGAAACAAATTTTGGGACGCTCTAAAACACTCTAGAATTTCCAGAAACACTTTGAAAAGCGCCAGAATCCTAGGATTCAGGTTAAAAGTTCCAAAATGCCTTTCAGAAGAGCAAATTTAAATTGCTGTAGAGCGTTAAACCTCTAATAATAAGTATCCAGACCAGTTCAAATCCCAATTAGAATTTTCAGGAGCATTTTATTGGAACAATTTGGAAACTTCTGAGTTATTTCAGAACAATTATAGGATTCAATTTAGAACTAGAAACCTTTTAGAACTCTTCTGAACTAATTTAGAACACTTTGGAGCTTCACTAGGGGTCTAAAATGCTTAAAAATATGTCAGAACAATTTAGAAATTATTGAAAAACTTCTAAAATGCTCCAGAACTCTTCAAGCCAAATTAGAACACTGTAGAACTTCAATGAGCGATTTAGAACGTTCCAGCAGCATTTTGAAAGGCTTAGACAAAATTTGACAATTATGTTTCTCCTTCAATTCAAATTTTTGAATTTTTATAATTTTTCCTATTCCAGGCTCTTGATTTTTCCTCATTTCCTTATTCCTTATCCTTAACATTCTTTTGGCTCTTGAATTTTTTCATTAGAACTTCTTGAATTGTCATTATTCCCGTACCTATGTTAAAATTTCAGGCTCTTGATTTGTTTTTTTAATTTTTACTCCTAGCTCTTCTAATGTTTTGCTTTCAAAATGAATTTTGTGTATGTTTTCATTTAAAAGAGATCAAGAATTTAAGAGCTTAGCGTTTGGAATAGACAAAAATTGGAAGTTATAAAATGAGTAATAATAATAATGAAATATTAGTCCTGTAGACGTATTCAGGCAGACGTCTGAGAGACTTTGGGTTTTGTAACATACGACGTCTTCAAGTTGTCTTTAGGACGTCTTCAAGACGTAAACAGACATCTAAAAGATGTGCTGAATGACGTTTGTAGACATCTTAGGGACGTCTTCAAGATGTCTCTGTGCTGTCTGTGATAGAGCCCTAAACTATGACAATCTTGTTTAGAACAGTCTGTATAAAATTCAAATTTTTGAGACTTTTCAAGGAATTTGAAGCCAATCGTGAAAATAGGATCGATTCTACTTGCCAGCAACAAGCAAAAAAATAAAGTGCACACAACTGGAGTTATAGCAGTTGTATTAGCGACATTTTGGGCCGATTTATTCACTTTCTGATAAACTATCAGGTAATGCAATCTGACGGATGAAAACGCAATTTGCAATTCCATTGGTCGACTAGTTATCCGCCGACTAATAGAATTATAGATCGGTTAATTTATCTGGCAGATAGTTACCAGAAAGTATATTTCAAGATGAATAAACCGGGCCTTAAACATTTTACCATTCTAGAACAAACTTTCTTAGCACTCTCAAGACACCCTGTGGAATGGTCAAATATTCAAGGTTTCTAGAAAATTTCAACGGCCTATGAATAGGTAATTTAGATTTTTTTGAAAAAAGTTCCGGTTTTGTTTCGGTTACAACTTTTATATGGTGGCTTTTAAAAAATAGGAAAATTCCAAACATTTTTCAGGGTTATTGAACATACGCCAATTTTTGAGACTTTCTAAGGAATTTCAAGCCAACCGTGAAAAAAAAACTGTCATGATTGAGGTGGACCTCTGATTGGTCTGTGTAAAGTTGAAGTTACATATTCAAAAGAAGCACTGTGAGTTTTACTATTTCCACTAATAATTTAAACTTTCCACAAGGCGACATCAAACATCAAGAAAACAAAAAGTTTCCAAAGTTTCTTCAAGTTTATTAGCATATTCCTGATCAAAACAACGTCGTTTATTAGAATTCCTAGGACACCCTGTAGAATACTTAAAATGTTACAGGGTTCCTAGAGAATTTTGACAGTTTTCGAATAATTCGTTTTTGCTACAGATTTTTTGCAATGCAAATTTTTTAATGAAACTAATTCAGAAACGACATCAGGAATTTGAATTGTATATCCTTTCAAATCTACCTGCAATTTAGGATGGGCGGTTAAAGCCTGAATTTTACTGCAAATTCAATAAACTATTAGAAGCCCTACTTAGATAATTTTAAAATGTAATAGCATTTTTAGCACTAAAACGCTAATAAACATCATGGATTGTGATTGTATTTGAGAATAATTTTAAAAAGAGCTTCTGCAAAACAATGGTTACATGAAATCAAAAAATAACTAGAAGGTCTTTGGAAGCTTAGTTGAGAAGGGTTTTTAATGTAAAATATTTCTCAAACATCCAATATTAGAGACTCTTTTTAGATCTTTCTGAAAAAAATTAATTGAGCAAGTTACAGAGGGGGTTTTTCGGAAATTCTTTCCGAAATGATCCAGAGCTCATGCTGCTGAAAAAAACCTAAAGTGTATGTCAAACATTTTTTGTGACAAATAACTAAAGTTAGAAATAAGAAAGTTTCACGATTATTAAAAAATAATTACTAATAACTGCTTAATCATCATGTTGTTCCATAAATTAAGCTCACTTATCCTAAACAAATGTGGGCTCAAGTTTAAAATCCAAAAATATAGATTCTCTCAGCGCAGAAAAACAAAACCTCAACTAAAAAGTTGGCCGTAACAAATTCTATTTTATTATTTCAGGATGTGCTTAAAAAAATCCACATTATAATAGGTGTTTTTATTGTTTCAGTAGCATATTATTAGCGATAGGTTGTAGAGAGTCCCACTTGTCCATATAGTGCATATACGTGTCTAGTGTGTTACATAAAAACAACTCTCCGGACTTACTTCTTGGATTTTCATCTTGGTTTTGATGACCTTACGACGGACCTCAGTTTCGTAGGACTCCTCTACCGTCTCCACTTCCACCAGGCTCTCGTCGCCGCCATTCTCGGACATTTTTACCGCCTCCGGTCTGGCACTAAACCGCGTTTTTTGGACACTAATTCCGTCCACTAGTACAGTATAGTCGAGTCTCGGGTTATTTCAATCCTGATTCAACTGAACGCAGCGCTCACTTGCCAAAGACTGGCTGAGCGTGAGTGAATCTATATTTAATTTTCTTTTGCAGGCAACTAACTATAGTAAGTTAACAGACACGTCGAAACGGAAGTTTGTTGTAGTCTAGAAATTACTGTTCTTCTTTGGAGGTTTTGGTTTTGTAACTATTTCTAGTTCTAATTTAGATGCTAATCGAAGCCTATTATTATCGCACTGTTGCCTATTATTCAACTTGACGGATATAATGTGCTTATGTACCGTTTTGGCACGTTCAGCTTGTTGGCTTTATTACTGATCTTGCATCAAGATTGTATTGATCAAAACAGTAGTTACTATAACATCCGTTCTTGAATAAATAAAAAATGGTATGTACAAGAATAAGAAATAAAAACAAATTAACGAAAATAAGATTATCGAAAAGCATTTGTGTTTTTGGTGGTGACTTTGCTATCTTCAAACTTCAAGAAAATCCTACTTCCAGATCTTTTTCATGTATAATATTCTCTATAGGTACCTACCTATCTTCAACTGTTTTCGGAATATTGATATTTCAAAAAGATTGCAATTTTGCCAATATTATGCTGCATGAGCTGGAACAAAATACAATTTTTTTTTGATGAAATTGTGTGGACCGATGAGTTGAATATTTCAACAAGCAGCATCTCTAACAGAAAATAATGCCACTATTGGTGGCAAATTGTTGTGATTACACTATGATTAATAATATTAACTATTCTGTACAATATATAATAAATACAATTGATCAAAGTAGTAAAAAAAGAAGATGATTTCCTCAGCCCTAAAATGGAATCATTTACAAAGTTTGGCATTCTGCGTTCTCTTCTAAATCTAGGGGTTGCTGTTCCAGTGTTTAAAATCTCTATTTCATTTGACGTTCCATTGTTGTTAGTGTCATCATTTTGTACATTTTCTTCTGAAATGTTCAAATCTTCTGCAAATCCATTATCCATTAACTGTTTGAGAAGATGTTGGAGTAGAATGCATTGATAAATTTTCCCAAATATTCATTCCTATTTGTGGGTCATGATTTGGTATATGGTATATTCATTTTGAAAGTTTCCAATCACAAATGTAGTGGAATTCCATTGTTGATTTCTTCAACTTGATCATGATATTTCCTTCTCAGCTGATTGACGGGATGTTATCTGAGAAGACGTCGACGATCACCTGGTAGGTACGTACATGGACATTACACATAAAATTTCCAATTTTTTCAATGATTTCCCCTGGTATTCAAGTATAAGAAGTTTTTTCTATATATTTTTGCAAATATCAAAGCTTCTGGTTGAAATTCTTTATGATGATGAAAGTGATGATCATCATAGGGAATATTTCTTCTTTCTTGTGTTTATGGTATTCATCTACAATGCTCGATTTGTCTTGTCCATTACTATCCGCATTTTTCTTCCCAATAAATGTTCTGCTAGGGATTTTCCATTTGGAAAACTGACACTTGGTGAATACCCATATGCTGCTAGAAACTGGCTTATATGTTGGATGTTCTTCCCTTTTCATTTTCATCCATGCTCTTCTCAATGTATCCATACATTTTTTTCAGCTTGACCCATTGGATTGTGGTTAGTATTCTGTCTTGTCCGAGATCTTGCTCAAGTGCTAAACCTAATATAATAAATGTTAGGTCGGTCTTGAAAGTAAGAAAGGTAATTGATCAGTGCTCGGCAAGGGAACATGACTTGAAAAAGAATAACTTACAGGAAGAACTAATTGATGCACAACATTTTTTCAAACACTTTTTTCGGTAACATTATTGCTTTTAAATATCCAATCTGTTAGATCAAGTCGACGAGATGGACTTGTTTTTGGAAGGCTTGGATTATCCTAAGATTGTCTTGCTAACTGAACATTGCTTAAGCGAGCATGAACCACTTTGTTAACTTAATTAACTAACCCTGTCTTATTTAACACCCTGTCTTATTTAACATTTACATAAATGATCTATATAAGGTTGAGAGCAAAGCCGAATTGGTCAGTTTTGCAGACGACACTGCCATCCAGTACCAGGCTGATTCTTGGGAAGAGCTTTATAATACTATTGTTGGAGATTTTCCAAGGTTTGTGAATTGGTTCAATAACAATCTCCTTAGTATAAATTTTCAAAAAACCTTATTTATGCCTTTTAGCAGCTATAGTCATGGCCTGCCGAATTACCAGTCACTACTCTACTCTTTAGATTCAAAAAATATTGAAATTAAGCGTTGCTCCCATTTTGAATACTTGGGAATCTATGTTGATAGCCATCTTAGATGGAACTACCATGTAGAGTATGTAACAAAAAAGATAAGATCGCTTTTACCCTTTTTTCGATCATATAGAGACATTTTTTCAATGAATCAATTAAAGACATTATATTACGCACTAGCACAGTCACGCCTCACATATGGGATCATAGCATGGGGTGGAGTCACGAAAACACATCTTAGAAGCCTTGATGTCGTGCAGCGATGGTTGCTTAAAATTATATTCAGAAAAGATCGCTTGCACCCAACAGAAACACTTTTCTCGGACACAAATATTTTTGATGTAAGAGTCTTGTTCTTCCAAATTATGTCAATAAGAATCTATAACAAGAAAACTATTGTGACTTCTATTGAACACAGTTATAACAACACTAGACATCGAGAAAATGCAGTGGCTAAGCCTTCTATGAAAAAAACAGTGGATCAAAGATGCTTCATTTATCTAAGAACTATTGTCTTCCAGAAGATCTGTCATCTTGTCAGAACTGCACAGTCGGTTTCTATATTAAAAAAAAAAGAATAAAATATTATTTATTAACAAACTCAAGAGTAGATTTTCACGTACTGCTGGACTAATATAATAATAAAAAAGGGGAAGGATTTAGATTTATATTTATGTATTCATTCATAATTTTATATTTTAATTTTATCATTATCATTTTGTTTTTGTAATTTTTCAACTAGTAACTAGGTAGGTACTTATTCTTCTTAGTTTTATAGGTGTAGGGTTAGACCTAGGTATGCTTTGTACTATTGGTGGATACTTTAGTCCATATTAAGTGCTCACGCGCAAGATTACTCTTGTGGGCTAAATCTGTATTTATTGTTTCTGCTATGATATATGTACATACATAAATTGTAAGGATCTAACAATAAATACTTTATAATAATAATAATAATAATAATAATAATAATAATAATAATAATAATAATAACTACAGTGAGCTTCCAACATTTTGCACGACATACTTCTTGCATGGAGGAAGTTTAATTTTGGTACACAATAGTAGAGTGTTTTCACAGCTATCAAACCACATACCCACCACGGAAAACCCCCCTCCAGCACAGTCATCATATCACTACCCACCACCCCTTTCCGTGAAGCTCCTACCCTGAGCACTTTTTTGCCTCAAGTGCCCACCTCTACTACGTAAATGGTCCACCAGATTCACAAATTTTGGGGTTGGCCCGGGTCAAATTCCCAAAGGTTCAGATCAAAGGCGCCGCCGATCAATCTAGAGATTTTCCCACGGTATCGAAAAAGTTCCCACGGTTAGCTCGGGTCTAGAGATTTTCCCACGGTATCGAAAAAGTTCCATCGCTCAAGTGCCTTCAGCTATCAGACCAATACCCACACTCACCTCTACTACGTTAAAAAGCCTCTATTCTGAAGAGCTACCTATTTCCATATCCCTTCACTTTCTTGAAAACTAAAGAATATTTAAACAATTCCTGCATTTGTATTCGTCAATAGTGTTTTGAACTCCATGGGATGTAGAAGCTCTTGAAAAGATTCAAAATTGAAAGCACACCGTTATTGTTCAAGGACCCTATCAAAGTAGTAGAGTGTTGAAAACCCTCCATTAATGTATTTTTAAAAAGCTCCTACTCTGAAATGGCACTTTTTCATATCCCTCCACTTTCTTGAAAACTAAAGAATATTTACATAACCAATTCTTCCATTTGTATTCGTCCATTTTGGGGTTGGCCCGGGTCAAATCCCCGAAATTTCAGATTAAAGGCGCCGCCAATCTAGAGATTTCCCCACGATATCAAAAAAAAAGTCCCAGGCTCAATTGCCCCCGGCTATCAGATCAATACCCACCTCTACTACGTAAATGGTTCACCCTTAGAGCAGGGTCCACCAGATTCACGAGCAAAATGTTTATTCTTGCAATAAAATTAATGCACCTGTTTATGACCAATACCTATCTCACCTCACACCTATCAGATCAATACCCACCTCTACTACGTCAAAAAGCTTCTACTCTGGAGAGGTACCTCTTTCCATATCCCTCAACTTTCTTGAAAACTAAAGAATATTTAAACAATTCCTGCATTTGTAACCGTCAATAGTGTTCTAAACTCAATGGGATAATTTTATTGCAATAATAACATTCTGCTTGTGAATCTGGTGGACCATTCACGTAGTAGAGGTAAGTATTGGTCTGATAGCCAGGGGCTCTTGAGCCTGGGAAGTTTTTCGATACCGTGGGAAAATCTCTAGATCGGCGACGCCTTTGATCTGAAATTTTGGGGAATTGACCCAGGCCAATCCCAAAATTTGTGAATCTGGTGGACCATTTACGTAGTAGAGGTGGGCACTTGAGGCAAAAAAGTGCTCAGGGTAGGAGCTTCACGGAAAGGGGTGGTGGGTAGTGATATGATGACTGAATACAAATCGAAGAATTCGTTAAATATTCTTTAGTTTTCAAGAAAGTGGAGGGATAGAAAAAACTGGCATCTCAGGGTAGGAGCCTTTTGAAAATAGATTAATGGAGGGCTTTACGGAAGGGGGTTTACAGTGGAGGTGGGTAGTGGTATGATGGCTGTGCTGGAGGAGGCTTTTTACGTGGTAGAGGTGGGTATTGGTCTAATAGCTGTGAAAACACTCTACTGACAATGAGGTGCGTGAGCAGTGCGATTTTGTTGCGGTAGATGGGCTCAACTCATTGTGCGTCAAAAAGCATTTTGAGTTTTTGGCGGTGTTTTCTTCTCGCTTGAATCTTCATATAATTTGCATTTACCGCTCCCCCTGCTCGAATCTGAATGTATTTTTCAGTGGGATGGAGATGCTTCTCAGCAGAATTCCTCTGCAGTCATTTCTGATATTGGCGGGAGGCTTGAATCTGAACTTCTGTAATCAAACTCAACCAAATGTCCAGTACCTAAAGAATCTCCTGACTTGATTTGATCTCTAAATGCACGTTGACGATTTTACACGGGTCGCGGCCGTCACGGCATGGCGACTACTCTGGATTATGTTTGCTCCAATTTGCCCACTGAGTCTCTAGACTGTTGTGTTGAAAACGCTGGTCTATCAGATCATCATGCTGTGTATTTCCAATTTGAGCTGATGGGAAATAAACCCCCCGCCAGGAAAGGTCAGGAAAATTGGGCGGATTTTTGGGGCACGCAATTACTTGCGCTTTCAGGAGGGCTGGAGCGAACATGACTGGAACAATGAATTGAGTAGTGAGAACCCAATTGAGTCTTTTCATTTGAGCATGTCAGGGATTTTTGATAGTTCATTTTCTCTTTGTACCATAAGGCACAAACCTCAAAAGACCTGGTGTACCAGTGGACTCAAGGTTTCAGCCAGAAATCTGAGATCTTTGCATACTCTGAGAAAGTTTTTCTCTCCCAAATTTTTTTCTTGGCATATTATAATAGATATAGGAGTATCTACAGGAAAACTATTAAACTTGCTAAGCATTTGTACTATGATGGGAGGTTGGCAGCAGCGCCTAAGAAGGAGAGGGAAACCTGGAAGATAGTTAACGTCCTGCGCGGTCCTTTCCCAAACAAAACTACAAACATGACAGCAGATGACATTAACAACACATAATACTGTTCAATAGCGCAATGTCTGTCCAATGGGGTTAAGCACAGGGACGAACCTGTGCAATATCTCCAACACCAGACTGTACCAGACTCTTTCTTTTTTAAGCCTGTGGTTGCTGAGGAACTAGTGTCTGTTTTTCGTAACATTAAAAACAAAAAAGAAACTAGCATGAATGATCATATATGTCTATAAAGATATTTTCTTCCCTAACCCCTCCTGCTGTTAATGCCCTTGCTGGTGCCATTAACACTTCTTTGCAATCTGACAACTTTCCACTCTCCTTGAAACAGGCAATTGTAATACCTTTCTATAAAGCGGGGGAAAAGGAGTCCCCATCAAACTACAGCCCAATCTCCTTGCTCCCTACGCTCAGCAAGATCATTGAAGGCCTCTTTAAGACTAGAATGCTAGATTTCTTAAATCATCATCAATTGCTTCCACCTTCCCAGTTTGGATTTCAGTGTCCGAAGAACACAAATGATGAGAAAAGCGTGTCCTGGAATGTTTCAGGATTTGAATAGAATCTTCCAGGAATATTCTGATTGTCCCAACTAAATATTCTTTCAACATTCCTGTCCTGGGAGGTCTTTGTGTTATTAGGGATAAATACGGAGCACAGGGACCAAAAAATATGGAAAAACTTACAGCAAATCAAGACTGCCACAGAGGAAGACCAACGGGTTGCCCCTCATCATTTAAAGACAATAAGCCTAATTACATTTAGGAAAATGGTAGAAGCCGTTTTCCGCGACACCAAATCAAACATAGCAATCTACACTACCAAACAAGCAATGAATGCAACAAAAGAAGGGAGAACGGAACTCTTGGCAGAGCAGAAAACAGGAAGGAAAAGAAGACAAACCTACGCCTTAATTGTGGACAATGAAGATGAACAGTCGAAAGAAACAATAAGAAGTAAAGAGCGAGTCAGAAAAACCGACCTGCGAATAAACATCAACACGGTCCGAGAAACCAAGAAGGGATAGATTTTGATAACCATGGAAAAGGATGAAGAAAGGCTGAACAAGTCGAGAATGGAGTTAGTAAAGATACTAGAAGGTGTCAAGATTAGAACTTCGTGAGTGAACAAACAACAAATGGCACTACATATAAGGGAAATGGATTTCACAACCACCAAAGAGGAGATTATCGAGGCAGTTACTGACATAGTCGAACAAATGGAACCGGACGAGTGTAAGCTAAGAGGCATCAAAGGGGGCGTGACCCTAAAAAACGACTTAATAAGGGACTTACATCAAGAAAAAAATTCTAAGATCTCTCTTGAAAACCGCAGTCCTATATCCAAAATAGTCTCCGAGAAAATTCCTTGTGAAGATAAATTAAGCAGGAACTTGTGATGTCACAACCGCCGAAATCGCAGTCTTCTGTTCGTTCAGTCGTCAGTGAACCCTACCCTATCCTTTGAGTGGTTCAGTAGTTGCAATTCGCTTTACGAGATAATTGTCTTTTGTCTTGAAAAATTCTTACACGTGTTAATGCTGTCCCTGATAATCCAGTTTGACGTCACAAACACCTAGTTGTAACTCTAAACCGCCCTAACTCGAAAGCGAACCATCGTAGCAAGATGCGGTTTAGATACTTATTCTTAGATTTTTTGCACTAAAACTTTCATTTTTGGGTCACACTCCCTTTAAGTCCTAACAGGGACGGAACCCAGAACGCAACCATAGTCGTTATTCCCGAAAGTAAATGGCAAACACTACTTAGAAGGAGAATCAGGATAGAGCTGTCCATGTGCCACATGGAAGAAAGGCTCGGAGTGAAAAGATGCCATAGATACTCGGAGTACAGTTACGAAGCCAAGGAATGCAAAGGGGCAGACCTCACCAAACAATGCTATAGGTGCGGAAAGGAGGACCACAAACTAAAAGAATGCAAGGAGGCGCCAGAAAGAGCACAAAGCTGGATCGAGCAAGTGTGATGCCTTCCGCAGAGCACTCTCGTTTGCAAGGAAAGAAAGGAAGGCAGAGAAAACAACAAGACGGAACTCTGTGAACAGAACTATCAATAAAATGTATGCAGGTAAACTTCAATAAAAAATCGAAAAATTTAAAGGAATTTTAAAAGAAACCTAATTGAGACAAAACGGTGCAAGTGAGCATTAATGAACCAAAGATTTAGACAGTGCGAAATTGACGTAATATTGGGGCAGGAACCAAATAGGAAAAAAATCAGTAACGTAATCTGTCGTACTAACTGTGATAGCTTTGTGGATGTTGTGATAAACTACCACTGTGATCGGGGATATGTGTTTGGGGAAATGGAAAAAGCAGCGGTGATAACCTGCTACTTCTCGCCAAATGGCGAGATCCGAAGATTTTGAGAGATTACTAAAACGGTTAGAAACAAGTATAAGGCCAACAGACAAAGGAATTATCATGGGGGGCGACCTAAACGCCAAGACGATCGCTCTTGGCTCTACAACGACGAACCAAAGAGGCACCATCCTAGAAAAATGGCTAGCGGTTAAGGATCTATACATACTAAACACCGGCGACACAAAAACATTTAGTGGACCAAATGGAACCTCAATAGTCGACTTTACGGTGGCGTCACCAGCGATAAGCACACAAATTTATGACTGGAAAATCGAAATCGAACCGGGAAACCTAAATGACCACCGCACCATAACCTACACGCTCCAAGCGGAACCCAAACGAACAGGGGAGGGAAGATTCAGAGGGTGGAGAACAAGCGCAAAGGCTATGAAGGAACTAGTGAGAGAAAGCAGCATAATTTTCTGGAACATCGTCGATATAGATGCGAGAACATTGATACAGGATATCACGAGGGCGTGCAATAAGCACGTTACTAAAGCAGGAACAAGAACAGACGAGCACAAACCAGTTTACTGGTGGAACCAACAAATTGCGGAGAAACGAAAAGAGTGCAACGGGCGGAGAAAAGAGCTTACAAAGGCGCGAGGACAAACCAACAATGAGAGCATACTGGAAAAACGGAGAGAGAAATACATGGAGGCCAAAAGGCAACTGAAGAAGGAGATAATTGGGAATAGCAAGAAACAAAAAGTAAAGGGGGTATGCGAGGAATTGCAGGTAAAAATCTGGGGCAAGGCTTACCAGATGGTAACAAATAGATTTGAACTCAAGAAACGATACCAAATTGATGAAGAGACCATAGATCAACAAGTCCAAAAACTATTCCCAAAATACCCCAAAACACCAGTTATCAGAGTGGAGATAACCAGTAACGAGGTAGACAAATTTAAACGACCCAAGGACTAAAGCAGGACGCGCACTGAATCGGCTCGGACCAGTCGACTCGGCGAAGAGTTTTTGAAACTCATGAAATTAAATGAGGCTCCGCGCACGGCATCGGACTCGTCGACTCAACGTGGTCGACTCGACACGGCAACGACGGAGATTGCTTGAAGGGGCAAAAACTGCCGGGAAGATTTTTGTGTGAAATTTAGTGTAGCGTTTAGGACGTTTCGGTTTGTACTGAGTTTGTGTCCTGCTTCTGGAACAGTAGTATCTTCAAAACCTCATAGAACTTCCCACTAGACATTCTAGGATATTAAAAAAACTTTTCCTCATTTCCAAGCAAGTCGGAAAATAAATGGTAGAATCGAGTAGAATTCTTCGTATACAAAGTTCGTATACCTTTCTTTTCAAATTTATATTATGGACTCAGAATCTTGGTCTCCACATTTCTCTTCCAATTTCATGACACAGAAGTCTACCATTGACGCCCACAAATACGTGAAAAACATATGGGTAGACATCGACAGCAAAGCGGTGAAAAATGGCGACTTCTGCGTCATGATATTACTGGATAAACAAAACGCAATTAATTCAGCACCATGGGATGGCATCAGAAAAGCCATAAAGGACGGAGGGGTCAGTAAATATCTGAGACCGATAATCAACTCATACCTATCAGAGAGAAGCATCATTGCGCCAAACAACAAAACATACGAGATGACATGCGGGGTACCCCAAGGATCCATCATAGGACCTTTCTTATGGAACATTTTCTATGACCAGATCCTAGGCATCGAAACAGATGAAGGCGTGGAGCTGATCGCATATGCAGACGATCTTGCTATCGTGGTGAGAGCAAAAACAAGAACAGAACTAGAGGTCAAAGCACAGTACGCGGGCACGAGGGTGACCGAAAGGCTCACAGAAATGAAAATATCTGTCGCAACTAGGAAAACGGAGATGCTCATTATGGCCGGGAAGAGGAAGGTGCTAGAAGCCAAAATCAATTTGAATAACATAATACAGAGCCAGAGGGCGTTAAAGTACCTTATGGCTGGGAAGAGGAAGGTGCTAGAAGCTAGATGCTGAATAACATAATACAGAGCCAGAGGGCGGTAAAGTACGTAGAAGTATATTTTAAAAAGGACCTGAGGATGACATGTTAACGAAATAGCAGAAAAGGCCAACAGGATGCTAAACTTACTTATGAGGATAATGCCAAAGGTTGGAGGACCAAAAAGCAACAAGAGAAGAGAGAAGGATTGTAGCTAGCGCATCCGTGACCCGTGACCTCTGCAATACTGCACGCTGCACCACCGATATGGGAGTCAGCGATAAAATATAAAAATCACCTCAGGACTTTAGAAAGAGTGAATAGAAGATTGGCTATAGGAATGACCTCTACCTACAGAACGGCCTCGATGGCTGCAACGCAAGTGCTGGCGGGATTACCACCGACCGACCTAGGCATAAAGGAAAAATGCAAAATTTTTCAATGAAGGAGGTGACGCGAGTGGCCAGCTGTTCAACAACTAGCAGGAAAGATGGGAAGCATATGATGGGTTCGCAAGGCACTTCATCAAGACACAATCTTCGTGTGCATGGAAGCTGAAGACCTTAGAGAGGAAGCTGCAGAAAAGTGCGGGTCGGAAATAACTATAGAGAATGTTGGAGAGAAAAGAGTATCTAGAGGCAATTCAGAAAATGTTGAGAAAAATAATGACGCGAAAGGAGACAGGGGAGAAACGACGAGAGAATGCAGTGGCATATAGGCCAAATCCCCCGAAATAATGCTTAACGGCGGTCCGGGAAGAGTAGGGGAAGGGTTTTAGTGGGTGCGAGTCCCACACTCCCTCCACTATCCACAAATCTTTCTATTTGACCATTGGATTGTGGTGAGTATGGAGCTGTGCGGATATGTTTGGGCAATAATGTAGAAAGTTTTCACTAGTAAATTGTAAACCATTATTAGATACAATAGAATTAGGAATTCCAAACATGGAAATAATTTCTTCTAGCTTTAAAATCGTGAATTTTGAACTTATATTTCTTGTTGTGAAAACTTCTGGCCACTTGAAACAGGCATCTATGATTACCAAATAATAATTTCCATTCACAGGACCTGCATAGTCTATGTGAAGTCTCTCCCAAATATTCTGTGCAATAGGCCAATGTGATATCTTTTTTCTTGGTGTCCTTGCAGCTTCTGCACATGAAGAGCAATTTTGAACAAATTTTGTGATGTCGTCATCAATGTTAAGGTCAGTAAACATAACTTCGTGCTATTGATTTCATATACGAGTTTGTCCTTGATGTAACTGTTCGAGTACCTATTTGATAAAAATGAAGTTGTGGAACTACTATTTCAAAAAAACTTCATTGCATCTGCATTTTGTCAATGTTTATAAGGCCATGAATATCGAACGTAGTGTAAAATATGTCTTAATACATTGTTTCTGCGTGTTTCCTGATAAATATTTTTGAATGTGATTGGTGATGATCTCAGAATTTCATCAAAAATATGACAAACCTCCGACTGAACTTGCACAGAACCGATTACTGTATCTTCTCTCTCATCCACATAGCTATTCATCAATCTTGACAAAGCATCTGCATGACCAAACTCTGTGGTTTTGATATATTCAATTTTTAAAACGTATGCTTCAACTTTCAACACTAGAACCCCCTCTGCAATCTGTGTATGAAGGAACTCCTTATTTGATCCAAAAATTGCTAATAATGGTTTGTATGATCAGTTTCGAAAATGAAAAATCTTCCGTATATCATCTTGTAAAATTTCTCAACTACAAAAACTAATGCTAAAGCCTCTTTTTAAATTTTTGTGTATCTTTTCTTTGTTTCTGTCAGAGTTCTAGAAACATGATAGATCGTTTTTTCTATTCCATCTTCAAACCTATGAAACAAACCATCCTCCAATACCCAGATTGCTTGCGTCTGCTGCTACAATTCTGTTGTTGTGGACTGTAGTGAGTAAATAGAAGATCTGACTGAAGAATTGTCTTAAACTGTTCATATGACCTCTGACAGTCTTCTATCCTTCGATTCGCTGGATAGCTTCTGTTTATAAAGGGTTTAGCTTTATACCTTGCTTAGTCAGAATATGTCCCAAATATCGAATTTCCTTAACTTCTAACATACATTTCTGAACTTTTATATGCAAGCCGAAATCCTCAATTCGTTTGAGAACATGATGTTTGTCAGAATTCTGTCCAAAAACGAGAATGTCATCGATATATGCTGCAGTAAACCTTGTAATCCTACTATCATAGTATCCATAATCTGTTGAAAAATAGACGATGCTACTTTGATACCAGAAGGCATTCTATTTTAGTGAAATAGATATTGATATGTATTGTATTAATAGCTAAATATTGTTCAAAATTTTCATCTATTCCAATTCGAAAAAATGCGTTTGCAAGTTTGGAAAATATTTCTGCAGCAGTTGGTAATGGATAATGATGTGATTCAATCCAGTATTTCACTCACATTTTCCTAGACCTTTCTGGAAACACTTCAGATATGATGGACAAATTTTGCAATCTTCCAAGTTCCTCATCGACTTGATCCATTACCGCATAAGCTACTGGTCTTTTGGGACAAAACACTGGCTCCACTCCTTTGTGAATAAAAAAATCTACTATGAGTTTTACATAATTTTCCAAGAATGTCTTCAAATAACTTGATTTCAATGAAAAACTGGTACCATCGTCACCAAAAGTAACTGGGACAGCATCCTATTAGCTCTTGTACTATTATATGAATTTTATTGTCAAATATTTGTCAAACAATGAATTAGATGCATTGAAATGAATGGCGTTAGAATTAGTCCAGGAAATTATTATGCATTATTTTTGTCCCATATACTTTTGGTGACGATGGTACGTTCTTTAAATTTAATTTCTTAATCCAGTTGATTCCTAATAAATTGAAATTTCCGATAGGTGTGACAAAACATGTTCCTGTATATAACTTTCCTTTAAACGAAACTTTACAACTTAATTCTGATAAAATACTGAGATATTCCTCAGATGCATTTTTTGCCTTATGATTAGTACCGTGAACTTTGGTTTTTCTATATCAGCCTATGTATTATCGGATATCAAGATAATATCTGAACCAGTATCTATTTGCAACTGCACTGGATTGCTATTTAGTATTTAGTAATAATGTAATGTAGGTACTTACGATCTTGCAGTGAGTCAATAGCATCTACTGTATGAATCGTCTTTACTGTAAATGGAATATTTTTCATTTGAAATCTGTTTATGTATTCTGAATTAGCAAAACCGTGAAAAATATTCTCTGCAGTTCCAGCATGTACTCTTCAAAATCATCTTTCCATTTTCTTGCTGACTTCTATTACTGTTTAACTGATGCTGACTTCTAAGATTGGCTTGAGCTTGCAGACTGGGAAAATTGATGTGATATGAATGACATTGATATATTCATTTCACTTTGAATTGGAGCAATTTTCAATTATGTAAGTGGTATTTTGTTTTAATGAGATTAGCTTTTGACATTCAAGTAAGTTAAATTTTTATCAGTGTCCATTTATGAAAGAAGTTTCGTTCTAATGTCCACATCTTTGCCTGAATTGCGTTCGCAAATGTATATCAAACATGTAAACATTTCTGGAGTGGTTGGAACATACCAAAGCCGTACGCGGAGGTCTGTTTCCCATAAGCAATAAGCTTGTAAAATACAATAACACCCCAGCAATGGGAAGAGTACTTTGAAGAATTACTGACAGACCAATGAGCAGAGTTTAAAGAAGAAAAAAGGAACAGACACGAAACATAAAAACTGCAGGATCACCAATAAGAGTTATACAAGAAGTTAAAAAACACTGTTGCTTTTTGAAAAATGGTAGGGCACCAGGCCCAGGAGAAATTATGGAGAAATGATAAAGTAAGGACCAATTAACTCTAAAAACATTCAACAAAACTATTTCGAACATGTATTGATAAACATGAAGTACCAGAAGAGTGGAAAATAAGCTATTTAACAATGATATATAAGAAAGGAGACAGAAACAAATGCGAGAACCACCGAGGAATTGCAGTAACAAATACACTGAGTAGACTGTATGGAAAACATAAAAGCCAAAAGAACGAGTACAAAGATAGTGAGGCAGAACAAACCAGTAACTGTAGACCACTTATTTAGTCTGACCCAGGTAATGGAAAAGAAATTGGTGTATAACCAAGAACTCCATTTATTCTTTGTAGATCTAAAGAAACCATATGACAATGTTCCGCTGAAAAAGCTTTGGGAAGCACTGGAAAAGACCAATATCAACTTAGAACTACTAAAGGCAGTAAAAACGCTCTACAGTGATGCAAAGACCAAGATTAAACAGGGATATAATCAGTAAAGGCTTTATAGCAACTAAAGGACTTAAACAGGGATGCTGCATATCACCAACACTTTTTAAAATATACTTAGAACTAGCGCTTAAGTGTGGAAAAACAAATGCAGACACATAGGAATACCGCTCAATGAATACAATCTATATACTTTAAGCTTTGCAGGTGATTAAGTATTAATTGCACGGGACTATGATGATTTAGAGTATGTGACTCGAAAATTCATAGAGGAATACGGGAAATGGGGTTTGGAAGTAAATCTTACTAAAACAGAACATATGACTATGAGGGGGTTGACAACGAACTCTGAAATTGAATAACGGTCAAGAAATAGCACAATGTACTGAATACAAATATTTGGGAATGAATATCTCACATGAGGAAACCCTAGCGAAGCAATTAAAGATCGGAATATACAAGGACGCAAGGAAATATCTCTACTAAATGGTGTACTAGGGGACCAAAATATCAACAAAACTAGCAAAACTATATAGAATATACAACACCATAGTCAAAATCATAGTCACATATAGTTCAGAGGTCTGACCACTAAAGAACAGAACCGCAAAAATACTGGAAGCAACTGAAATGGACTTTTGGAGGAGAGTGGCAGGCAGGTCAAAAATGGAAAGGATAAACAAATCAAGATTATGGACGTAAAATACACAATAGTAGATGATATGAAGGACAAACATCTGATTTGGTTAGGACTAGGACATGTACAAAGAATGACAGATACAAAAAAACCAAGCAAATTATTGAGTGAAAGCAAGGGGGAATAAGAAGACGCGGCAGACCAAGAAGTTGGAGAAGTGGAGTAGATGAACAAATGAGAGACAGAGGCTTAGAGGAGGATGCCTGGCTTGACAGAAATGGTTCGAGATCGGGAATCAGAAGACGTATAGATAATAAGCTTGTACTATATTATTGTATATTTTTTTCCTGAAAATTAGACTCAAAGTCACTTCAAATTAGCCAAAAAACAGTGAGTTTGTTATTTTTTCGGGTTCTAAAAAAATTACCAAAAAATACATACCTAGAAATGTATCAAAATCAAACCAAATTAGCTAGATAACATTTTTTTCAAACAGTTAAAAGTTGGGATCAGGGATTAAAAGAAAAAAAATATATATAGAAACATAACATTATGGTCCCAATAAAAGCTTTTAATTTCACAAATTCAGCCGAATGGGTAACACAAAATCAAAAATTAAGAATCAAAAATAAAAATTAATCAACAAAACTCAAATGATATGTAAATTCTGCTCAAACAAGTGGAATAAATAATTTCAAAACAAAAATATTTAATTTTTTTTTTTTCAATGCAAGCTTAAAATAGTTTAGTGTCTTGGTTAACGTCTTTTTTTTCGCTTACAGGACAATTTGCAATTAATAAGTAGGTACAACCTGAAAGGCAAATAAATCAACAACATTCTTATAAAAAAATCCCGATAAATTTATACAGTAAACAGTAAAAATCATCCAAAAATAGTCATTATTATATTTTTGTCGATAAAAATCCCTACCAAAATTTAGGAGTTGTGATTCACGGCCGCAAGGGCTTCTTTTAGCTCTTGTGGCCTGTACACACCTCTTTCAGTAATAATGCCGGCAATTAGGGAAGATGGGGTGACGTCAAAGGCAGGATTCCAACATTGAATCCCTAAAATGTGTTTATTTAAATCAAATTCAACTCATAGATTATTGTCTTACCTTTTGCTGCTATCCTATGCTCTCCAACGTGAGTCATTTCTCTATCAGGCCTCTCTTCAATCACAATGTGCTCGCCAGTCGAAACTTTGGCATCTATAGACGTGAACGGGGCTGCTACATAAAATGGCACTTGGTGATATTTGGCTACTACGGCTATTTGATAAGTTCCGATTTTATTTGCTGTATCACCGTTTGCAGCTACCTAAGAAAAGAATTTCTTTTTTTCTTCATCAAAATATGTACACAAAAGATCAAAATTATTAATAATTAATGTTTAATTGAATGATTTCAGAATGGATTTATCATTGTCACTTGATTCAGATTATTTTCTACTGATATGTTCTGTAAAGACGTTCTCGTTACTCTCTTTTCTGTGCACTAAAGCTTTTTTGAGTTTTTGCTTTCGAGGAAATCCTTAATGATATTTAAGTCAAGTAAGACTATAGAGTTGCTTTTTCAATTGGTGCAAAACCCAAGGCAAAACCCAAACAAACCCCAATTCGAAACTCAGAGGGTCGAAATTTTATGTGAATAAAGAGTCCATATTAGCCTGTTATAGCATATTTAAATCCTCAAGAGTTCTCAGATGATTTTTCTCTTGAGATTGTTTTTCGTTTTAACTTAATTGTAGGCTAGGATTTGACAGGCGATGGCATTTTATAACTTGACACATATTTAGATTATGTTTGGAAATAGATATAATAGTTGGTGTCTTCATTTGTGAAGGCCTTCTAAATCTAAATAAATTATTACCCTATCAGCTCCAACGACCACAGCAGAAATATTTCGAGACTTCATCAAGGCCGACACCATACTATCACAAATGAGAGTAGCGGGAATTTTTTCGTGTATCAATTCGTAGGCTGTCAACCTCGCTCCTTGATTATATGGCCTTGTTTCAGTACAGTAAACGTGTTCAAGTCTTTTCTTTCCCTGTAAACTCCTAATAACTCCTAAAGCGGTGCCATAACCTGCGGTAGCAAGAGATCCAGTGTTGCAGTGCGTAATCACTCTCACTAAGCTATCTCCGGCGACATGAGAGAGGATTTCTTTGGCGCCATTATCACCGATGGCTTTATTATCAGCTATGTCTTTTGCTAGCATTTGTTGAATTGTTGATAGGAACCTAGAAATAAATATTATAATAAGTCATTGCAGACTTTTCTTTTTACCTTGTAAGTATAATTTTTATCTAACTAAAAAATATATTATTATATTATTATAACAGGATATTATGTAATAAGTTTGAAATAAAAATATTTCCCTATACAAAATTTTGCCAATGTTTCTATTGAATTGAAACGAGCCAGAATCAAATTGAAACATGATGATAATAATCAGCAAATTAATAAATTGTCAACTATTGCACCTGTGAAATGACTACAAATTATTTAATTTAATTACAGCCAGCTATTATTGACCAACCAAGATGATCCCAGATATTCACATACATATTTAATTAGTTTATATTATAACTCTATCAGCAGATATTATTAGCACGTTTACACGTTTTCCAAAAATATATAAAAATAGCAATCTTCATTCATTATTAATAAGATAAAAAAATACTGATAAGCACTGATAAACATTGTGTAATATGTTTATCAAATTAAAAATGTTGTTCAATCAATTTCAAAAACAATTTTCAACAACTCACTTATTTTTCATGTCGTCTAAACCGACACATTCGTCTTTGCTGAGTTGATTGGCCAAATCGATGAGTTCTTCGGCGGCAGTTTTCATATTGACAGCGGTCGGACGAGACGAAACCAAATAGTTTAGTTTACCCTCTACTTCTTGACGAAATTGTTTTTTGGTTTCGAATTTGTCGTTTTGCATCTCTACCGCTAAACTTAGACAGCCAACTATGGCTATAGCTGGAGCCCCACGAACCTGAAACATTGAAAACAACTTTTGTTATAGTTTAGGTAAACTGAATATTAACAGGATGAGCAACTAGACCAATTAAAGAACAACAAAGATATATTTTTTTTTTCAGGGGTGTAGTGTAGCTATTCTCAAAAATGGTTGATGAAGCGATGCATTCAAAATATTATAATGAGGAAAACAATTTGAAATAATTAATACTAAATTTAAGTAGTACTAAACATTCAACAATTTCATTCTAATTTACGCGATTCTGGCGTAAAATACACAATTGAATTATCATAACTCAGTAAAAATAATTGGCAACAGCAGAACAAATGTTGTCTCTGTTCCATGCATTTAAACTCGGTCGAATTCTCCCTTACACCTAGAAAGTATCCAATATATTTGATCTTATTTAACAAACCTTTTAATTTTTTTTACCTACTTTTTTTTAGAATTTTTTCTGTTTATAGTTATTTGAATTTGTTCTCAAAATAGATACAAACAATGTCTTTTTAAGCACACAAATATTTAGAAATATTAAGTTTCAATGTGTAAAATTGCATTTTAATGACGCCTGAGATCGTTCACCTTTTTTCATTTGGCATCCAAAGTAGACTTGAGATACGCGTTTAACCAATAAACAACCAAAATTGAAGCTAATAGTCATACAGATCCCTTTATAGATGTATTTATTAAATTTGTCCTAAAAGTGCTACCAGCTTTTCTCTTGAAATATCTCGAAGAGAAAATGTCTAAAATGAGGATAAAATTGCATTTTTGTCAACGATTTTCCACTTCTTTTCATTCAAAACCCTTCCAAAGTAGATTTCAAGTACATGTTCAATGCAAAACAACCTAAATCGAAGCTTATAGTCATACAGATCCTTCCGTAGTCGCTTTTTGGTTCAAAATTGCATTAAAAAAAAAAACACAAAATGGTTCAAATTTGTCCTAAGCTTCCTTGTAGTTTTTTCAAGGTTTTTTCTTTTGAAATATCAAAATGGGTGAAAAATTGCATTGAACAAGCTCGAAATATCCGCAAAAAGGATAATTTGGCAACACTGGAAAAATCACATCTAGGATAGTGCGGTGATGACGAGCGTGAACATTAGAATTTTGGAGGAAAACACTCGAGAATACACGAGAATACAAAAGAATTACATATGAATACATAGGATTACATGAGCAAATAAGAATACAGGAGATTACATGGGATTACATGAGGCTTGTACAATGTATTACATTGGAGGTTTAGAAAAAAAAATAATGGATTTTTAATTTTTTTACTTGCCAGAAGTGGAAAAGTGGTTTCTCAAAACTCACCTGTTTTCCCCTAACCCTAATGTATTTTTTTCAAATTACGAACCTACCTTATATTGCACATCGTTGGATCGCTCGTTGCTTTCCTTTTACAGTCTTATATAGCAAAATAAAATAATCATATTTTTAAGGAGGCTTGCCCCCCTAATGATTTTTCTAAAATGAGAAACTACCCCGTGTGATACCTCCTTTGAAAGGTTTTTTATTCCTCTTCAGAGGCGTCGGCATTTCATTCCAGCTGCAATATAGAACATGATCACTTGACTCTTCGTGTGGAAAACACAAAAACAATTTTGCTTGGCAAAGTTGAAGAGCATTCAGCTATTCTATTAAAGCCCCATTGGGCTGAATTCACTTGAAACCACGTTGTGCAGCTGACACCCAACAACAAATCATAATTCAGCCATTTCTCGCCGATATTCGGTAGTGCCCCACTGCTACACTTACCTTTAAAAGTATAATCGTGTAACAAATGAGATCCTTACCTATTTTGGCGAACGGCTTCCCCGGGGGACACCAATTAGGTACCAAAAAGAATTAATCAAACCATGATTTGTTGCCCTGGATATCAGTGAAACACAACTTCAATTGTTAAGAGGAAGTTATTGAAAACATCTACAGCCAAATGCTTAAAGTCTAATACCAAACATGCTCAACTAGAAGTAGCTTACCAAAATTCTGATTTGAAGGGCAGTTAGGATCTTAGTTAATTATTATTTTTTAATAGCTTATTCCTCCACAATAGTCTACTGCCGAATGACGAATATAAAAATAGATAAGAAAAGAAAGGTACAATAGCTTGTTTACATGACCCTGGTCTTTTTTTTTCTTAAGGTGCGTTTACACATGCATGGATTTAGTGGCGCCAATAAAAACTGGCGCGCCAGTAAATTTTATTAGCAAGTGTAAACATGGACTTGCATACACATTTTATATTTGCATGCATAGTCCAAAAAAGTCTGCATCCTTCTGAAATCACTGGCGCCAGTGGTGACAAATTCGTACAGAAAATCAAAACTTGCAAGTGTAAACAAGTGCTTGCACGTCGGCGTCCGCTCGCCAGTTTTTCGTTTGATTTTCATTTCGGTTGCTGCCAGTTCTCCTAGAAGTTTTGCAGAAGCAGCTAAAGTGGGTCGACGACCAATCCATGGTTCAACCCAGAAACGGCCATTTCGTTGGTTGCGTTTCTTTTTCTGTATTTCTTTTCTCTTTTTTTTTTTCCTAAAAGTTTAGCGACTATTTTACAGGCTTCGGAAAATTCACTCGACATAGTGCACACTGAGAAAAGTACTTTAAAAGTGAAACTGGCGTGCCACTTATTTCTGTTTTTCGCACAAAGTGTAAACCTTTACTGGCGTGCAAATAGAACTGGCGCGACCACTGGCGCCACTAAATCCATGCATGTGTAAACTCACCTTTACTTCAGTCACAGATTCTTCAGTGATGATTCATCAATTAGGTATAATAATATTGAGATAAACAAATCCTTCCATCTTTACTTGCTGAAATGCACAAAACACCAATTTCAGATTGTTTCGAGAATGTGATGAAAAACCTTACGAGAATTATCATTATTCGAGTGGCAAAAATTGCCAAAACTACGCCCGTGCAAATCATTTTTTTCTCTATTTTTTTATGTAGGTGCCCACTGTATACTTATTATACATCAGATAATATGTATTGGTATAACTATGTAGATATATGTAAGTATAACTTTTCGATCGATTCACTCTGTCCAAATATGCATCCAATTCAACGTCAAATGAACGTTTCATAGACATCATAATACAGGGTATTTTTTCTAAATAAGTCATATTGGGTTTTACATGGTAACTTTTAAACCTGTTGGTTCATGTCATGGTCAAATAAACGTCTACTACGTGACGTTCCAAACAAGTCATATTTTGCAACCTCTTTAAGAAGAAAGACTTGCTGGAAAACATCCTCCAAAATTTCAAATGTTTGGATGGATTTGGATCAGACGACTTTTTCGCACATGTTTTTGGCCTGGTTTATTCATCTTGAGATAAACTTGCTGGTAACTATTTGTAAGATAAATTTACAGATCTTTAATCCTGTTTGTCACTGGATAATTGGTTGACCAATGGGATAACATATTGCGTTTTTATCCGTCAGATTGCATTACCTGACAATTTATTAGAAAGTGAATAAACTGGCTCTTGAAGAACCGGGAATAAACAAAAATTTGAAAATTGAAAGGCAGACATTAATTTAATTTGTTTATTAACGGACTTGCCATTAAGGGAAAATGGAGTAGTAGACTTAAGTACCTACATATTGTTTCTATTCCAGGCCCTTGAATTTTCTTTATGTAGAGATATTTAGAAATAAACAATTCAAGAGCCAGCAATAGACAAAAATTTAGACTGAAAACTTTGAGAAGTGAAAAGCAGAAATTTAGGGAAAATAGAGTAGTTAAGTAGACTTAACACGTTAACCGCCGTGTAGGTCACCGGTGACCTACGGGTAGTCGTGCCTGGGGCGCCGCGTAGGTCACCGGTGACCTACAGCAAATTTTGCCAATAACTTTGTCGAAACCCAACGTTAAATGGGATTTCAAGGCGGTGTGGTGACCTACGACGATTCTTCATGTGCAGGAATATCATGTTTTTTCTGTATTGTATGTTGCATACCATTTAGGTTCATATCATATATTTGCAAAGGGATTTTGTTGCCTGCCACGCCGCGTAGGTAGGTCACCAGTGACCTACGCCCTGAAATCAAGATTACGGTCCCATGGAGAATGATATCACTCTATTTCAAGTACTGGTATTCTTCAAATGCCATTCTCTATCCAAAAATTCAAATGGCCTGGGAAGAATTTTTTTTGAAAATCGGCACCTGACGTCACACCTGTTTTTGCCATATACTTCATATACCCCTTGCTCCTCATACGGAAAGTGTCAGAAACGAGGGACAATAGATGAACTGCCAGATAAGTAAAAAAATAAGGATGAGATTGATCAATCTGCCGACAAACTTCGTGAACCAGAGATAAGGTCAGATATTGAGCTTCAAAGTTGAAATTAAGTCGCCATTTTGCCCAAAACTTCAAACTCGATTTTCTCAAAAACCGTAAATGCCAAGGATTTCAGTGAACCACCATTTTGGAGCTTTGATTGGACAGCTACAATTAGAGATAATTTTGTCCCGGTACTACTTTGGTTTACCGAGTTATTTAGGTTTGAAGATTTGCAAATTAAAATTCAAAAGGTTTACTACTTATGAGTACCCTTAGGAAAAAGTACCAAATACTGAAAATTTTTATTTTTGGATTTTTCTCAATTCTGACTTTTGTAATTGATAGTCCAATATTTTGATGTGATCTACGCCTGTAAGGGTTAAAGATGTGAGTATGATTTTTTTTTATATAGATCAAATAATAGCAAACTAAACTAAACCAAAGTACTATTAACTCGACTATTGACCATTTACAATTATAACAATGTATAAAAATGCCTTTTAAACATAGCATTAAAATAATAATATTGAGAATTGAGACAAGATGTTCCCACATCCCTAAAAAATTGAAATCTTCCCAACGAGGGGGAGATAACTCTGTTAAGAGCCAGTTTGTCAATAGCGAGTCACCTCCGGGTTGGCTTAAACGGGTAAACGTGTCCAGTTGCAATGTTTACCCTGAAATTATGCTGACCTTAACGGCGGGGGTGACTTACTATTGAGAAACTGGCCCTAAATCGGTGTAGAAACCTGTAATCCTGAATAAATCTATATGTAAATCATCTCATTTTTTCCTCGATTTTTTTCTTTCACCAGATAAAATCCTCGATAAAATCAGCATAAATCAGTGAAAATCTTTTCAAATCACAATACATATGGTATCACTTAGCTTCGTTTTAGTTCGAAATTTGAAACGGTTCTGGGATTGCGCAGAACTGCTTGTGCACAAAAAAATAATAGAGGACTGTTCTAATACTAGTTCTGAATCGATTCGGAACCAAAAAAGCCAAAATACAAAATTCTGAAACAGTTCCTCCTGCAGAGCAAGAACTGAGAGAACCGTTCTAGAAGAATCCCAGAATTGTTCTTAAAAAGTTCTAGATAAACCAAAACACTGTCAACACAGTTGGATTACGATTCTGAAAAAACCAAATCGTGTTTTATAAAATGCGCATGTGCAGAATGATTCCGAACTAGTTCTGCGTGAAACCAAAACAAAGCTACTAACAATCTAGTATCAGGATAAATCTCTAAAAATCAAGAGAAATATGAAATTTCCAAGAATCAAGATAAAACACCTGTAAATCAATCTCAAAATCAATATAAATCAAGATATAGGTAAATCCATTTAAAAATCGTTAAACCGCCAAAAAATACAATTGGATAACAAAATCCCAAGGTTAAACATGAGATATATCAAGAGATAGATTGACGGTGAGAAACTGTAGATCATTGATCATTTTACATCTCCATGAATCCCACACATAATCACAATAAATCACTTACTTCATCACAAATCTCTGTTCATCATCTAAAATTATTATGAATATTTATAAATCTTAGCTTGAATCCTATTGAAATCAGCTAAAAATATTGATAACTCTCCATAAATCAGTTGAAAAAAAAAAAAAAACTATTTAAATCAGTAATAATCTCGGTAATAATCTAGTCTTGAATCTAGTTAAATTGGGATAAATCTCTAAAAATCAACAGAAATTATCAAAAATCAAGATAAATTGCCTGGGAATCAATGTAAATTCATTTAAAAATTATTAAATATTTGCCACAAAATACAACAGAGTCCCAAGGCAAAACACTCAGTGAAACATGAGATATATTGACAAGCAAACGGTGAGAAACTGTAGAACATTAATGAGTTCAAATCCGAGTTCAAATCTACATAAATTCCATACAAAATCACAATTAATCGAGCAATAAATCACAACATATCTCTGTTCATCACCTGAAGCCATTATAAATCTTCATAATTCACTTTAAATCCTCGCTTAACTTAAATCCTATTAAATCAGCTTAAATTTTATTAAATCAGCTAAAAATATTGGTAAATCTGCATTAATCAGGTGAAAATAATAAATCTGGATAAATCAGTTATTAAATTTCATAGATCAGTAAAAAAAAATGATCTGTGTTCAAATTTTGTAGAGATAGGAAAAACAGGTTACAAGTTTAATTATGACCTACACAACCTATCACAAAATGAGCGTTAATAACAAACAACCTCGTTAATATTTGCCGTAGTAGGTATTAACATGTATTAAGTACTGAACTATTAGGTAACAAGTATAAGGTAAGTACTTTGCTTTGTAGTAGATATCTGGTATTAACAAAATATTAATAGTAATAATAGTATTAAATTTTCAAGTATTACCAACACATTACAGCCAATTTGTACAGTGATTGCTTTGGGTAGTTTACCCCCTGCCAAATTTGCATTGCAAATCAAAGAATAGTCTAAAAGAATACCAATTTAAGCAGAATTATGAAAACCTGGAAGATAAATTTATTGCAAACAACTAAATTTTTAACTCAATTATTGTAATTGCCCATGCTTTTATTATAAGTTTTTGGAAGTGAACTCTGCGCATACCGGTAGGTCTCATTTATTTCACTGATTGTGTGCCGACCGTATGTATATCGCTCAAATATTATGGTAGGTCCCCAATTGTCACATGATATAACGCCTATTGGTAGGTACTGTTTGTAACATATATGTGCATTTACGTTCGATGGGTGATATATTTGAAAAAGGGTTTCCACGTTTTTGGTGGATTTAAGCTTCCCAGAATCTTCTCTTTGAAGTTTGGCGAGCGGAGCGAGCACTCTAGAGGCTCAAAAATATTTTAAATTTCAAGGTGTTATATTTAATAAAGGTTTTTCAAGTTTTTGGTGGATTCACCGGCGAGCAGAGCGAGCAATCGCACTCAAAAATATTTTAAACAAGAAGGTGAAATATTTGGAAAAGGTTTTTCATGTTTTTGATGGATTTGTTCTCCCGAGGATCCTCTCTTCGAGGTTTGGCCAGCATAGCGAGCAATCGAAGACTCAAAAATAATTTCAAGGTGTATGCAGAAGGATTATCAATAGGTTGTCATCTAAAATGACGCAGATTTCAAACATCAACAAGTTTAAAGTCCAAATTGGAGAGACGTTAGTTAGGTACTAATAAAGGCTTATTACTCAGTGGATGAATTTCTAAATGATAATTTTGCAAACAAACAAAATTGTATTAACGCATTTAGGTAGCAAGTGCTGACTGGTAGGATATACGGATTCTAAAGTAATAGAACACTTTCAGTAGGTGCTTGATCAATTTACGAAAAAGGACCTACCTACCAGTTGGCGCACAATCGGTGGATTAAAAAGGGACCTACTGGTAGGCGTACCACCGTTGGATAACAAAGGACCTACCGGTAGGCGTAGGGTCCACTCCCTAAGTTTTTTTTTAATTCTAAAAGTGCTTCATTTTGCCTTTTTCCGAGCCTTTTTCTCTTGAAAAAGCAAGAGAGAATGTCCAATATCACCTTAAAATCCACAAAATGGTCAACATCTGTGCCGAAAGTGCTCGTTTTCAGCTTTTCTGTAAGCTTTGGAAACTCTCTCGCAATTCTTGAAAATCTAGCTGCAATCCGAATCCCTAAATTCTGCAATCTTGTAACATCATTGTTCTCGGTGGTAACCTCCTCACTTGAACTACTAAGATTCTCAAACATGTAATTTTGTAAAACATTCATTACAAAGCACAAGTTTTTCATAATAAATAAAAAATTGCATAGAAAATTTAGAAGATTTTCATTGGGAATTTCTCAATGTAACAAGAACTTTTCTTGAACTTGTGGCTAAGTAAAGAATGTGTTCGTTCATATTTTTATTACTTAAGCTGGATTTATAGTGTCAGTATTAGTAACAGTAGCAGTAACAGTAAAATATTAAAACACGGCCTACTGTAAAGCCATTTATAATTCACTTAACAAACTTAACAGTAAAACTTAAGAAATGGTTATTTTCATATCTGTTCTTAAGTTTTAAGTTTTACTGTTACTGTTACTGATACTGACACTATAAATCCAGCTTTAGGTATGTAAGTTAAGTTCTTGTCTCATGGTACCTATTCTTGGAAGAGAAAAGCTTTCCAAATATAGTCCATCAAAGCAGAAAACTGATACTGACTGACTTTTCAATCATTACCTTTTCGTTCTAGCATATTTCGGCCACAAAGTATGCATTTTAAAAAGAAAAAAAGTGTGTAGGACGCGCAATAAACGTGAAATCCTGGCAAATATGCAACAGATGAATGATGATAATTACTATGGAATGGATCCTCACCTGCATTTTGTTGATAGCCTTCCATCCGTCCTCGACTCCTCTAACTTTAACATACCGAGTTGTAGCTGGTAATAGCAGCTGATCTAAAATTTCCAAATTGTTCGTCTCTGGATCGTACTTGATGGATTGCAAAGACATCTTTTTAAACTGGTGTGCCCCACTCGCTCGGACCTTCTGCTGGACGTTGCACAAGATCTCCGTTTCGGAGCACCGAAAAACAATTATGTTATCACAGCGACATTATCAGGACTGCCGCAAATCGCTTTTCTTAACCGAAAAACAGGATGCTTGCTTATCTAATAAGGAAAATATAATCTTTCTGGATGCCGGCAAGAAAAAAATACTTGTCGTTGCCCCCAATTTCACTGAAATTCTGTCATTTGTCATAATGAATACGATTCGGTAATTCTTATAAGAGTATTAGAGTAGTTTCAAGTATTTGCTCTCTTTTTTTGATGTTTAATTGAAAAAAGACAAAAAATATTTAGTATATGTCAAGATTTTGTTACATTTTGTACGAAGGCGCTATCTATGAACTATTTTAGAAATCTACTCTGTTTCATTAACAGAAACCTGTATTATTTTACAAAAATATACCGCCACCAGAACATCAGGAACGTTTATTGAATAAGCTCTGTTCGAACCATTGAGTTCCAACCAAGTAATTTCCAGTCGATCACGTAGAGGATAAGGGTTGAAATCTGGTTGAACTTATTGAAAAATAGGTGTGCAACTGGAAATTACTGGTTCTGGAGGAACGGTTCTCGTGTCGGTTAGAACAGCTAGAGCTTAGAATCGTTGATTCTACGATCTACGAGTGACCGTAAAGAAGTTACTTTGCGCACATTTTTATATAGGTACCTGTAGTCCAAGAGCCCAGAGCCGCCAGACACAACTTATTTTCTAAAGGACAGAATATGTGTGATTGAGTAGCACTTATATGTACTATGAACGTATGCATACCCGCTAAGTTGGCTAGACGGCCAATTTATTGAAACCAGGTGCGAAAGGTGAGAAAAAATAAGACTAACTTAACTCAGAGCCGGTTTAACCAGGGGTCTTTTGGGTGCTGTAGCACCGGGCGGCAAAATCTTGGGGGCGGCGCGCAAAGCGCGTAACGACCCTCAAAATTTCAATGTATCCTCTTTATCATTACTTTTTATTTCTTGAACCATAATACGAAAAAGTTAGTTTAGGGATTACTACCCATACGTATAGAAAAAATAAGTAAGTACAATTACGCCCGTCTGTATAGCTATGCCCAGCTCTACTTAAATTCCTGGAACCGTATTACTCGTGCGATAGCCGACAGCGATAACATACAACAGTCAGCTCGCATCTCACTTCAATTATTCATTTCAAGATAATTATGTTATAATATTGTTTGGCGGTGGCGTCGTTGACAAGAGTCTGGGGAACAGACAGACGGAGTTCCGAACTTTCCCGAACGTCAGCGTGTCGCGGTCGAAGAAGAGGGCGTCGAAGTTCCATCCGCCGAACGTATTTTATTCACATTTTATTATTATTTAGTAATAAGTACGAGAGAAGTTTTTTTCTAAATTCAGGTCCATTATGTGATTATAGGTTTATAAATAAAACACGGTGTCATTCAGATAAGTTACTTTTTTTTCTACGAACGTACCATCAAACTTTGGTACCATTTTTGATATTTTCCGTACGACCATACTAGATAGGTATAATTTCCGCAAAATCTCGTATGTATACACGATTTTCCTATACCTAAGTAAGGTACCCATATATTATGTATATGTATATTTCAATCATTTTTGGACAAAATATTATTTAAAAATGACTAAAATAAGTGTTGTACGCAACAATTTTGCATTTTAATGTTCCTAATATTTTGTATGCAGCAAAGATGTAATATTGATGTTGTATAGAAACTAGAAAGAAGCTTTAAAGGCTCAAAATTCACATACAAGCTTTTTTTCATAGCTGATGATCTCGGAAATAATCCCGACGCACAGACTCAACATAACATATTAAACAACATTAATAAATATAATACATTTAAACTTGTATTTTGATAATTATCCTTTTATCCGAGCTTGATTTTCTGCACTAAATATAATTATTTTTATTACAATTATCGAATATTTACACGCAATCTTGGTGGCCGTGGCCTATTCGGCGTCGGCGGCGCTCGTAGCGATGCTATGATATCGTTCGGCATCTTTCGGAGCTCCGTCTGTCTGCTCCCCAGACCCTTGGGCGGGGGGCGCTGCGTTTTTGTAGCACCGGGCGGCAAACCTCCTTAAACCGGCACTGACTTAACTTAAATTCTAACGGTTAATTTTTATATATGTTTTATATAAAATAGTTACAAACGAATATTTAACACTGCCAGACACCTCCCGTCGGCCAGAGCTTCCGCCAGACGCTTTAAAGCGCGCAAAAAAAAAAATTATAAAAATTTAACTTTTTTTCTAACGCTTGATTTTTATATACAGTGAGGACATAAAGTCCGTCGCCCCCCCTCTAACTTTTGAACCGCTCGGTATATTGCAACGAAATTTTGAATGATGATATGTGACTAGATTCTCCATGTTTTGAAAATCAAATGACAGCTTCAGCTGTCAAAATGACAGCTAGGTGCAGTTTTGGAACGTTTTTTTAAATAGAAGGCGGATTAGACTGTAAGCTTGAGAGGAGGAAATCAATTGACATAGATATGTCGCTCACTCTCAAACGCATGCATAGTTCCCTCATGCTCACACACACGGAAAAATTATTATTGCATCTGGGGGGATGTTTGGCCGGTGCGATTGGTCTGGTTGATCACAAGTAGTTATGAAATAGTCTCCCCAATAACATATATAAAAATCAAGCGTTAGAAAAAAAGTTAAATTTTTATTATTTTTTTTTTGCGCACTTTAAAGCGTCTGGCGGAAGCTCTGGCCGACGGGAGGTGTCTGGCAGTGGTAAATATTGGTTTGTACTAATTTTATATAGAAAATATATAAAAATTAACCGTTAGAATATAAGTTAAGTTAGTCTTATTTTTTCTCACCTTTTGCACCTGGTGTCAATAAATTGGCCGTGTGGGTGTGCATACGTTCATAGTACATATAAGTGCTACTCAATCACACATATTCTGTCCTTTAGAAAATAAGTTGTGTCTGGCAGCTCTGGGCTCTTGGACTACTACGCAAAGTAGCATTTTTCCGCACACTTATTTTAGAGCAAAATTACCATGGGCGGTATTCTGTAACGGATAGAGATCGTTATTCCTATCGCTATGACTTGCTGTCTTCTCCTCTCTTTTCGAAATCAATAGATAGGTAGGAGACGTCAATAGAGAGAGCGAACATATCTCTATCTATATATATAAAAATGAATGCCACTTTTCGTTATAATTTTATAACTCTAGAACGGCCTCACCTAGCCAAACCAAATGTTTAGGCTTTGTTCGGACTATTTATTAGATGGTTTATGTGAAGTTTGCACAAAATCGGTCGAGAGGTTCTTCATTTATCACATTTTTTGTAATAAATGAATTATTCAATAAATGGAGGATCATTTTGTTGATGGGGATTTTGCTGTCAAATTGAAACTTTTTTAGCGTTGACAGTACCAGCATGTTGTTATGTCATTAATATGGTTATTTCATTACTTATTTTATTTATTTATGAAAAAAATTTACTAAGCCCGCATACGGCGCCATCTCTTATAACCGATACCAAGTTTATTTTGTATTTTGTATACCGCGCCATCTCTGATACCTGGAACGAAGCTCGACATTGCAGATACAGTTGAGTAGAACAATGCTGCTCAGGAACTGGAGTTATTTCGAACAGAACTATTCCACTATTCCGATCAAATAGAGTGGCGCAGAAAGAGTAGATCAGATAGAGTAGTGCAGATAGAGTAGAACAGATGGAGTAGTTCAGTAACAGCTGACGACTTAAAGTCAGAGATTTTAATATACTTGGAAGGAATGTGAGCTGGTGGCACCCTACATTAGAACGCCAATGGTCACCTGACGCCACACCTGCTTTTGCCATATACTTCACCTTCACCCCCTCACTCCTCATACGGAAAGTGTCAGATAAAAATCGACGAACGATAGTTATGACGACGGAAATGGTAACATAAAGTGTGTTTTTTTTTTTATAGATAAAAGTCAAAATGACATTATGTTGGCCACAGAACATATCACCTATAGAAAAATATCTCAAATGGGAGAATCGCGACGAAGGTTTTTAGTTAGGTTTTTAGTCAACGATGGCGACACTGTCGGGAGATAAGAGAAATTTACAGGTATCTGTGGTGTGGACAGTGATTTGTGTTGGTTGGTTTTGTCATTTATTTTGTCATTTTAAAAGTCAAAATTTGAATTTTTACAGTCTGACAAGCAGTATATCAGACTGATAAGCAGTTAGCGGTCGTTGGTGAATACGGCCGTAAGTCGACCAAGGTAAATCGAAAAATGTCAACCATTTTGAAATCTGTCAAAACCCTGCCAAACGGCAGCACTCATATTTTTCAGTTTGAAAATATGAAATTTTTCCGGTTTGGTTCATTAAATTTTGAAAATTTGTTGTGATCACCCTGTATCCTATTGGAACAAAAATTCGTACATTAGAATTTTAGACCATTCTAAACAAGAATCTTCTATCAGATTTTTTCTAAAAAAATCCCTAATAGTACTTATTGAAATTTGAGCCTATAAATGTGGACACCCTGTAAACCAGTGCAGCCGTAGAAATAAAATTATGAGCCTAATCAGTGCCAAATTCGAGTAGCTACAAGACAAAAAAAAAATTAATTGAATCGGTTGAAAAATAAAAATTTTAGAAGGGTGGTCAGTCCTTAAGCGGGACACACTGTATACAAGGTTGCGCCCTTGGTAAAAAATGTTGCATATGGCATTTTCAATAACATATTTAAATTTCGTCTAAATATCACGGGTAACCAATTTCCCTTTAAATATTGCGGGGTCCTTTAATAAGCGCATAAAACTAACACACAAACTGCTACTGCTATGGAAAAATTTTTGAAACCACATAAGGTCCCTTAGCAATCTTATACGTTCAATGTCTCCTAAAGATGTTCTAGAACAAAATCCACTCCTCTTTGCTATAGGATTCTCCAAAATTGGAACATAACTTGATTATTCCCGGCAATCATCAGCCGGGAATTGCCAAAAGTTGAATGCAACATGCTTGGATTCGACTCGTGATTATTTCCGGCTCTTGATTGGATCTTTTCAAAATCAAAGTGAACCAAACAAAGGGATTGTAAACCAAAAATTAGTTTTGGTATATAAAATATAAAAAAATCCAAGAATTCTGTGAAGTAGGCAGGCATACTTGAAACACAAAACCTAAATTTTACGTAATCGTTTAGCGCTTCGTTAGTGCTTCAATGTGCTTCAATCCCCAAATTAGCAACCCTTTTTTTTCAAAAATATTTCGGTTTTTTGAAATCGCCTGCTTACTTCACACCCAGCAGGAACAAGGAAAAAGCACTAACGTCCACTTACAGATAAATAGTTACCTAGTGTTTCGTATGTGCTTCAATGTGCTTCAATCCCCAAACTAGCAACCCTTTTTTCAGAGATATTCCGGATTCTAGAAATCGCCTGCTTACTTGAAACCCTGCAGGAACAATAAAGTAAAGCACCAACGTTCAGTTACAAATAAATGCTTCAATGTGTTTCAATTCACAAATTAGCAACCGTTCAACTTTCAGAGCTATAACAGTTTTTAGAAATCGCCTGCTCAATTCACACATAGGAGAAACATTGAAAGCACCAGCAACGTTTAGTGGTTGTAGATAGATGGTTTGTGCTTCGTTAGTACTTCAATGTGCTTCAATTCGCAAATTAGCAATCCTTATATTTTCAGAGGTATTTCGGTATTTAGAAATTGCCTGCTCACTTCACACCCAGCATAGGAACAAGGGAAGCACCAACGTCTAGTTATACATATAAACGATTAGTGCTTCAATGTGCTTCAATTCTCAAATTAGCAAGCCTTGAATTTTCAGAGATATTCCGAATTTTAGAAATCACCTCTGCTTAGTTCATACATAGCAGGAACATTGGAAGCACCAACGTTCAGTTACAGATAGATGGTTAGTCATGATCTATATAAAATTTGTGATAAGATGAATATAACGACTGCTCAAAAGAGATACTAAGGCCCGGTTTATTCACCTGATAAACTATCCAGATTATCTGACAGATAAAAACGCAATCTATATTCCTATTGGTCGGCCAGTTATTCGTTGACCAACAGAATTATTGATTGGCAAATTTGTCTTGTAGTTACCAGTAAGTTTATCGGAAGATAAGTAAACCGGCCTAAGCATTAAAGGAAGCAGTTTTTACCTACTATAATCATATTTATAAATAATTCAGACCAGTCGAAATATCTCTGGAAGTATAAGAGTTGTTAAAAGTTGAGGTGTGCATAATGAAGCACTAACGAAGCACTAACAATTTATCTAAAACTGAACGTTGGTGCTTTCCTTGTTCCCGCTGGGTGTGAAGTAAGCAGGCGATTTCAAAAAACCGAAATATCTCTGAAAATAGAAGGGTTGCTAATTTGCGGATTGAAGCACATTGAAGCACTAACGAATAACCGCTACACGATTATGTAAAATTCAACTTTTGTGCATCAAGTGTGCCTGCTTACTTCACAGAGCCGCCTCTCTGCTGGATTTCTATCAAACTTAGACATCAGTCTTCAGAAATTCCAACAAAACGAAGACGTGACGTCACAACCGCGTCGAGCCCTACAGATTCTGCTTTTGAGAACTTTGTTTCAGAATCAAAAGCCATATTTCACCTATTTGAGTCAACCTGTATTCAAGCGAGAATCGCAGGTTTTTTTTTTAGAGTCTGAGTCTACGGTATTCGAGCGGTTGTGACGTTACGCTCCCATGGTTGTTTTGCGAATATCTTCAAAACCGTTAGGCATAAAATCGTGCGGCTTGAAATATTGTTCTTAGAATTTGTTATCAGCGTTGTTGGATTCAACTCTTGATTATTCCCGGCTCTTAATTAGGTCTTTTCAGAATCAATGTGAATTAAACTTAGGTAAGTAACCAATCATAAGGCCGAGAACAGCCAAAAACACGAATGCGGTGTTTTTGAATTCAACTGTTGCTCTTAATTGGATCCAAAATCAAAGTGAACCAAAAACTGAATGCGGTATTTTTCGATTCAACTCTTGATTATTTCCGGCTATTGATTTGGGTAAGTTCATTATTTGAGAAATTTCAATCAAACTTATCCAAAATAACTTATTCAAGAGCCTGGAAAAATCAATGATAAAATTATTTTGATTACTCCTGGATATTGCTTGGTTAGATTTGACTATGATTACCTACACCCAAATATTTTTGTTTGAGCTTTAAATATTACTCCAAAAGAAGTTTTTTTGAGATACCTATCGATAAAGTTCTTCATCGCTCACTTTACCTAGTCCCAAAGCTTTTGTCATTAGTTGGTTGCTCTGAAAAGTTTAATGGAATCTCGAAAAAACAGAAGGCTCCATTCGATAGGAGAGGTGAAAAGAAACTGAAAAGGTCTCCTGATAATTCTAAGTCTAACGCCACCTAATGCAGTTCCAGAAACAAATCCACGCCTTTTTACTGGGTTTCCCCAAAATTGGAACTTGACGTTTTTCGAATTTCGAGAGAACGATTTGAAATTGATCCCATTACGGCCGGAAAAGAATGGAAACACTGGCTGCAGACAGTCAAAAACTTCTTGGATGAATCTGATAACTGCAAATAGAAAAAACCAACTGACGGTCAGAAGCTCAGACTCTTAGGACCTGTTAACCAGTCAGTGGATGGTCATTTAGTTTATTCGGTTAACGAATGATAAGTATTAGTTAACCAACAACTAAACAAAATAATCTTTTTAAACATTCACCTTTTTTTTCCAAAAAAAAATGACAAGATTCCACTCTTGACTCTTCAGTACTATACCACCAGTCACCAGTGGACAAAAACACCTTCTTTTTTCTGTTCCAAGTATGTACTATTAATATCTGCTACTATTGTAGCTAATTGCAGATAAATAATTGAATACTTAGGTAGGTATATTAATAAAAAAACTCTAGCTTCAAGCAACTTTTTTCCTATTTTCAAAAATACCTAGGTATCTTTCGAGACTTTGACCGTAACACGAGATAAACTATTATTATTGAAGAAAATATGTAAATAATTTCCGTTGCACAGTAATTAATTAATCTCTCTGAACTGAATTTATTTTATTTTTTGCTTTGGAATAAAACGAATTTGTAACTCTTATACATACTTAATTGTATTAATAATTAATGACTTAAGTAACTTATAAAAAAACATCACAATTATTATCATATCACATTTTTTCTAATAACTAATTAAGTACAAAATTCCCTAATAAAACTTTTTAATATAAGAAGTTTCTCTAAACTAGACCCGTAGGTATATTCTAAATTACAAAAATAATCACTCCTTCTTAGTCGTACTAGTGATATCCAAAATCCTGATACTCTTCAAAAACCAAAAGACACCAGAAATCAAAAAGAAAACTTCGGCAACAATTAAAGTAGAACCATCAATATCTGGAAATTTCATTCTTTGGACTGCAGTGACCAGAATCATGCATCTGAGAACTTCATAGATTGGAGCAAACTTGTGATTCTCAAAGAGCAAACCTATGTTGGTTAGTGAGGCGATAATGTAGATCACAAACGTGAGGACTGTCATAGGACTCAATGACTATAATAAAAAATGTTAGTTAGAAATTGAAGCGATTAAATTTTGGAAAAAGACTCACCAAATGTATTGAAGCTAATTGATGGAATCCATAAACCATAACAGCAAAATGGATTAAAAGATAGATGTTGCACCATAAGGGTATTTTGACGTTGAATTTTTCTCTTTTGGTTACTTTCACTTTGTCCTCTTCAAGACCTAATCTTGGTTTGCCGGGTTGCCAACTTGGACCGTAGAAGATTGCAGCTAATTTGTGTTTCCAACTGTTCATTGTTTGAAACTTTTCCATTACGTATCTTGTGTAGAATATCTGGAAAGAGATATAGTTGGGTGTTATTTTTTTCAGATTTTGAATCGATGAGATTAAATTATATCTAGTGGTTTCATTTGATTCTAAAATTAATTCACCTACCTGTAGATGTAGAGGATTGAACGAAGGTTGATTATAAACCAATCCATAAACGATTTCCTCGTCTTCACGTTCCGCAGCAAAAGTACCAAAAATCCTATCCCAAATAATCAAAACTCCACCATAGTTCGTGTCCAAGCAATAAATATTACTGCCATGGTGTACTCTATGATGATTGGGTGTATTAAAAATCCACTCCAATGGACCCAAAGTTTTTACAGTTTCAGTGTGGATCCAAAACTGATAGAGCAAATTGAAGTATTGATGAGTAACAAACTGAGATGGGGGTATTATCAGTGCTAAGGGTAAATAGAAGGCAAATCCACACCATCCTTGTAAAACTGATTGGCGAAGTCCCACAGCTAGATTGTAGTCTTCAGAACTATGATGGACTTGATGCTGTGCCCACAAAATATGAACTTCTGAAAAAACAATTTTTGTAATTTTTGTTTTTGATTAAAAATGTATATTATCTTACCATGACATGCTCTATGCACCCAGTAGTAGCAAAAATCTACGCCGATTGCCGCAAGATACCAAGTTATCGGTGAATCCCAAGGAAGATCCAAGAGACGAAAACGATTGTAGATGTAAAAGTACAGATAGCTTTCTGAGCTTCTGAAAAGGAGCTTTCCGCATTGTTGGAAAAGTCCGTGGGCGAGGCTAGTGATGCTATCGTTTAGTCTGGCTGTTGGTTTTCTTTCGATCCACAAGAGGATGTTTTCGATGATCATGAATAGGAGGAAATATGGCCAAGACTAGAGAAAAAAAAACAGCAATTATAACTAGTATAATACATAGGTACTTAATTAAAGAAAATATGCACTTTTGAAATGTCTTACATATTTCTTAACATAAATTGTTCTACTTTGATTGAATAAGTAAAGAAATGTGCCTTGTCCTCTTGCCAAGGCAAAAAAAAAACTAGTCCAAAGATTGTATAAAAAACTCTTCTAGATTTTTCTGGCAAAAATTCAAGGAAGTTTCAATTTTTTTTACGATCCAATTAAATAACCTTTCTAGTTGTAAAAATAAGTAGGAAATTAATTAATTACTCATTGATAAGAAACATAAATAAATTGTGTACCTACATTTAAAAAAATAATAATTATGCAATCTTCAAGCAGATAATACGCAAAACAAGTCACCATATATCAATTTTAATAAGGCCAACAAGTAAATAATTAAATATGTAATAAATATAATGCACTACTTACATTATAAAAATAATTGGGAACATCCTTATCATTTTCATAGCTACTTTCCGAAGGTTTGACAATATAAAACAACCTCCCAATTCCTTTGATAAATTCAACCAACAAGCTGGATACCAAATCTGGACCATTTTCCCCAGTCATATTCGTAAAGTTGTTGTGAGCCAGATTCACAAATACCGAAGTGATATTTTCACACTGATTGCTATTATTGCACATTACCTTTGTTGACGCCATAATTCAGATAAAATTTACAATGATAAGTATTAAGTAAATTGTTCTTTGAGAGTAAGAAAACTAAACAAACAATCATTCATTGGCTAACCACCAAAAACTATATTTAAATTGAAATTTCTATAAGTCGCAACTGTTTGAACTCAATTCGAAATTGATATTGCAAACAGCAGTGCATGAGCTTGGAGCTTTATAGTACCAATATTAAGCCGGTGTAAACAAAACGTGGTACCCCGGTCAAATGAGTGGGGGATGAGATTAGTGTTTAAAATTAATTAAGTTACTTTATTTGGTTCTCAAGCGAGCAAGTAAATATACAGGAAATTGCGGATGCAGTTTAGTGTATGAGATCCTTGCATTCTTAGCTTTACTGCTAATTGGTTTCGGAACTCGGGGGTTCCGTTTTAAGTATGATGGTAGCCTTGTATCGCTTTTTTGATGAAGGTCTTTTTGGGTCGTTTTATGACTAAATTTAGTTCCTATAGCATAGAAACTTCAATTAGCCAAAAGTAATATTAAAGTTTGAATTAGACAATTTGAATTAGCTAGGCTCAACGATAACAGAACATTAGTTTCGAAGATGTAATGGAATTTGAGCAACTCAACATAATCCAGAAAGCTTATCAATAACAAGAAGAAATTGCTCAAATAAGCCTCTACCAAAACTTCATGGGAAGATTGTGCTTTGGAATCAAACGCCAAATTGAAGGTCAAGCCTCTATGAAGTGTCCGAAAAGTAGGTAGGTACTTGAAGGCTTATATTGATCTGATTTACTTTTCACGACTGTCGACACATATTTGGTATCTTCGTTTTCTTGATGGTTACGTCTGGAACGTCTGAAGGCCACAAAAAGATGCCTAGAAGACGTTGTTTTGAAGATGTTCATAAGATGTAGATTCACATCCTAAAGACCACCTTTTGGTACATAACCAGGCCTAAAAGTGAATAATGGCTTACGTATTGAAAAGAGCAACGACGTCTTCATAAGACATGTCGTTGAAGACGTCTTTAGAATGTCTTAGTCCTAAACACGTCTGAAAGATGTTGGGTTATGTAACATAAGACCAGTGTTGCTAGGTCATATTTTGTTTTGTCAGTAGATTATACCAGTCTAAATATGAGTAGAAATCAGTAGACAGATAAATTGCCTTGTTAAAGGGGTAAACCATTAGGGTATACTCAATTAATTAGTTTAACTACGTTTCTTCAAACCATTAAATCATTAGACTGTGTATTAGACTATGAAAACTTCCATTAGAAAATCAAACACCAATACTACTTATGAGAAATAGTTTATTAAGATTAAGACACATGAGATATTCCTTTAAATATGCACTACCTACCTATGGGATGCCCTATATTTGGTTCTATATTCTTGAACAGTACAATTTCCTGATTCCAAAATAATATAGTTTGTCTATATTTGGTTGAGCCGGCTCCAACATATTTGGTTCTAAAAATTTTAAAAATACTATCAGAAAAACCAAGTATACCTACCTCAAATTTTACCTGCAGCTTTCATCTGTACAGGTAGAATGGTTCACAAAATCAGTATAGTAGGATAGTATTTTTACAATTTTTGGAGCCAAACATGAGAGACTATTAAATCAAATATAGAAAACTATATATTTTTGGAATCGGAGCATTGTACTCTTCACAAGAATATAGAATGAATGAAATATAGGGCAACTCATTTGAAAAAAGCTGAAAGTATGCAAAATTTCACATTTCTGACATTAACATTTTGTTTCTGACTATGGTTTCTAAAAATTCAACCAAAACTGTACAACTTTTTTATTTACACCTTTTTTCTACCTGGAGGTAAAGGAGGTAGGTGGAGTGTCCATATATAAAAAAACACCCTGTACAAATAAGTGAATTGTTGTAGAACTTATGGATGGACCTCTGCGGGACGAGCGCAGCGAGTTCCGCAGCTATCTACTCACTAATATACTGCTAAACTGTTCAAGTAAGACATTCACCTGAAACGTGTAGTTTTTGAACTAATGAGAATAACTCACATTTGACTGAGTCAGGTCAGTATCGTAATTAAACAACATATTGATGAATAGGTGGCTGCGGAACTCGTTGCGCTCGTCCCGCAGAGGTCCACCCATAAGTTCCGCAACAATTCACTCATTTGTACTTGAATAACTTGTCACTATACCTATATTACTAGTTTGGTAAAGTAACATTACTAATTCCTGTTGAAAGGCGAATTGACAAAAAGTGAATAATCATAATCTTACAAATTTTGAGTTTATATAATAAGTTATTGTTCAAGTATAAATAAGTGGATTATTGCGGAACTTATGGGTGGACCTCTGCGGGACGAGCGCAGCGAGTTCCGCAGCCATCTAATCATCAATATACTGTTGAGCTGTTCAAGGAAGACATTCACCTGAAACATGTAGTTTTTCAACTAATGAGAATAACTCACATTTGAGTGAGTTAGGGTAATATCGTAATTAAACTACATTTGATGAATAGATGGAGGTCCTCCCATAAGTTCCGCAACAATTCACTAATTTGCACTTGAATAACTTGTTACAATATATTACTAGTTTGGTAAAGTAACATTACTAATAATTCCTGTTGACAGGCGAATTGACAAAAAGTGGATAATCTGACAAATTCTGATTTTATATAATAAGTTATTGTTCAAGTACAGAGTGTTTTTTTATATATATTGACAAAAATTGAATGTCAGAAATGTGAAATGTTGCATGGCATGCTTTCAGCTTTTTTCAAATGGGAACCTATGCAATAGTCTAGTCTTATAAAAACAGGTAAAACAGGCTGCAGTAAGTTATACAGCATAACGCTATATGACAACGGCTTTTATCAGTAGAATTTACATTGATATCAGTATATCAGTAGACCAGTGGCAGTAGATCTACTGGTAAATCAGTAGACCTGGCAACACTGCATACGACGTTTTCTAGGTGCCTTGGAGACGTCTTGAATGTCGTTTGTGAACGTCTTAAAGATGCCTCTGTACTGGTTTGGGCTTTTTTTCCAGCTGGTAGATCTACTAGATCCAAGGTTTAATTTTTGATGAAAGCCTTCTATTCACTTCTCATCATTGCCCGAAATCATATATTCTTATCTGACTTATTTGAAGCTCCCTCTACGGTTAATGGATCACCATTATCTACTTCGATAATGACTGAATATAAAACATAATTGTGCTCCTGCACTGTAGATCCCTATGCTTGGTGTTTTTCTTATACGATGTTTTTGGATTCGAGCTACATTTTCTACTCTGAAGTGTAATTTTAACCACTTTCCCCGAATTTTTAAATTCTGTTTGAATAATCTATGTAAAAATGCTCATATGGAGCAATGCTTGAAATTTCATCTGCAATTTCATGCCTAATTTGTTCATGCCTATTTGCTCATCATCAATAAGTTCGATGTTTTCATTTCTTCAATTTTCTCTCTAGATCAGAAGACCAGAAAAAGACGCCTAGAAGAAGTTGTTTGGAAGATGTCCATAAGATGTCGTAAATTCACATCTTAAAGACAACTTTTTGGTACATATCAGGCCTAGAAGTGAATAATGGCTTACGTTTTGAAAAGAGCAAGGACGTCTTTAAAACATGTCGTTGCAGACGTCTTTAGAATGCCTTAGTCTTAAAGACGTCTGAAAGATGTTGGGTTTTGTAACATGACGTCTTCAAGGCGCCTCAAATACCAAAGCTAGACGCCTAGAGACGTAATCAAGACGTCTTGAATGTCGTTTGTGGATATCTTAGGGACGTCTATGATATATCTACAAGATTAATGAAATAATAGTCCTGGAGACGTATTTAGGCAGACGTCTGAAAGACGTTGGGTTTTGTAGCATACGACGTCTTTGAGGTGCCTTGAATGTCGTTTGTGGACGTCTTCAAGATGCCTCTGTGCTAGTTTGGGTTATGTTTCCAGCTGGAAGATCTACTAGATCCAAGGTTTAATTTTTGATGAAAGCATCCTATTCACCTCTAATTGCTCGAAATCATATATTTTTATCTGACTTAGGGCGGGTATTATAAAACTATTCTGACAGATAGTAAAAAGTTAACCTCTAGAATTACTATGGGAAGTAACGTCATTCCAGAAGTTAACTAGCTAGGCTCAATACGATAGTAAAACAACGAAGAAGTAATGGAATTTGAGCAGCTCAACATAATCCAGAAAGGTTATCAATAACAAGAAGAGATTGTTCACATAAGCCTCTACCAAAACTTCATGTGTTGGGAATCAAACCCCAAATTGAAGGTGAAGCAAATAAAGTGTCCAAAAAGTAGGTACTTAATTAAAGGCTTCTATATTGATCTGCACTGGAACCACAAACAATCGCTATCGATAAGTTCTCGACAATTTCCCCTCATTTCTCACATCGTCCACCCATCGCTCAACGTTAGGGTCCAAAATTGCCACTACAAACGAACATTTGCGGTGCAAACGAACGTTTGCGGTGGCAATTTTGGCGACTAACATTGAGCGATGGGTGGACGATGTGAGAACTTGTCGAGAACTTATCGATAGCGATTGTTCGTGGTTTCGCCTCTGATTTACTTTTCACGACTGTCGACACTTTGTATCTTCGTTTTCTCAATGGTTTCGGTCTGCATTACATCTGAACGTCTGAAGACCAGAAAAATACGTCTAGAAGACGTTGTTTTAAAGATATCCATAAGATGTCGTAAAATCAGATCTTAAAGACAACTTTTTGGTACAACCAGGCCTAAAAGTGAATAATGGCTTATGTATTGAAAAAAGCAAAGACGTCTTTAGAATGTCTTAGTCCTAAAGACGTACGTTTGAGAGATGTTGGATTTTGTAACATATGACGTCTTCAAGATGTCTTTAAGGCGCCTCAAATACCTAAGTTAGACGCCTAGAGACGTAAGCAAGATGTCTTGAATGTCGTTTGTAGACATCTTAGGGACCTCTATGAGATGCCTACAAGATTAATGAAATATTATTCCTGGAGACGTATTTAGGCAGACTTCTGAAAGACGTTGAGTTTTGTAACATACGACGTCTTTGAGGTGCCTTGGAGATGTCTTGAATGGCGTGTGTGGACGTCTTCAAGATGCCCCTGTGTTGGTTTGGGTTTTTTTCCAGCTGGTAGATCTACTAGATCCAAGGTTTAATTTTTGATGAAAGCATCCTATCCACTTCTCATTGCC